GGAGGGAGGTTCTGAGATCGGGAGGGAGGTTCTGGGATCAGGAGGGAGGTTCTGAGATCGGGAGGGAGGTTCTGGGATCAGGAGGGAGGTTCTGAGATCGGGAGGGAGGTTCTGGGATCAGGAGAGAGGTTCTGGGATCAGGAGGGAGGTTCTGGGATCAGGAGGGAGGTTCTGAGATCGGGAGGGAGGTTCTGGGCTCAGGAGGGAGGTTCTGTGATCAGGGGGTTCTGGGATCAGGAGAGAGGGGTCCTAAAGACCTCTCATAAGGTTTCCTGTTGGTGTGACTAAGCCTCCTGCTCTCTGCCACCCCCTGTTTTAGGCTCTACAGGAGGAGCTGCAAAGCAGACTTCATCAGGTTTCAGCTTTGCAGGAGATCTCCTCACTCCTCCTGGTGGAGGCCACCTCTGAGGAAGGTCTGGAGGCCAAGGAGAAGGTCAATGTCATTAGGAATAAGCTTCAGCTGTTGCTGCAGAAGGTTGCTGCACAGCTGGGTTCTCTGCAGGAAGTTCTGGTAGGTCCACATTGACCTCTGCTGGGAATTAGATGGATTTACTATTATTTCTGCCTCATAAACTGGCTCAGTTGTAAAATCCAAAGATTGTGTTGGTTGTTGGGTTTGGTTCTGTTCACTTAAAGTTCCCTTTTGGTTCCTGTCTGTTCCAGGACTGTTCCACTGGCTCTGAAGATTTCAGGTTCCCTCTGCTGCTTCCTCAGGTAAACCTCAGTTGGTCTCAGACTGGTACTGGCTGGAGCACCAGGCCTGCAGACCTTCTGCAGAATGACTGCAGGGAATGGAGCTTGGCTCTGAAACTGTCCTCTCAGAGGATGCAGACCTCAATGTGGAGGTCTACAGGGTTAAGACAGTTTGTCTGTCTATGGAGCTCCTTCCCTTTAGCGGTAATGAGCAATTATTAGTTTACCTCCAGCAGCTAAACCTCTCTAGTCTGCATTAATATAGCTGTTCTGGAGCAACAGACTAATGGCTAAAGCTATAAACTAGCTTGGGATGGTCCACGAACAGGGCTGGGTATTTTCGCCAAAGTCCTGAATCGATTTGATTTTGATTCATACAGTTCTAAATGGATTAATTTTGATTCAGTCTGTTTTTACTATAATGAAAGTGGTTCAACTGTGTTTCAAAATACTCATGTATTTTGTTTTTTCCAGTCACATTAAACTCAAAGTGCAAACTTGTCTATCAGGCAGTTTAAACTTGAGATGTGAACAAAACTGTCTCAAAAGTGCAAACTTGTTTGTGAATATTGAAAAAGTGAAGCCTCACTCGAGCGAGCAGATGTGACACAGCAGACATGCATGAGCTGCATTATCTCCACTGCACAAGCCATATTTGCTGCGTTGTCTGAAAAAACTACAGTTTGTTTTCTGGTCAGCCCCAATTTGTTAATGTCTTCAGTCAACCTATTGGCTATATTTGCAGCTGTCTGGCTTGAAGTCATCTTGAGTGCATCTTTCCTGCTTATTTGAATGTGAACGTCGCGCGCGTCATTATAAAATGAATCGATCTCATTCCCTAGACATCTATTTTGCAAAATTGTAAAAGAATCGATTCAAAATCGATTAAATGGATTTTTTTTACCCAGCCCTATCCAAGAATAAAGGAAAATAACGAAAACTGGCTAAAAGTTTGACAAGGTTTGATTTGTAAGAAAGTAGAAAATTTGGTCATCATCATCATCAGTTAGAGGAAACTTCCTGTAACTGATTTGATCCCTAAAGAAAAGAGACAGAAACGATTGAGGATCCCTCCATTTTGGTTTATATTGCTGACCAACAGAAAGAAAAGTATTTTTTTTTCTGAGCTGATTCCGATGTGTTTTTGCTTTTACCTTCAGGAGGCCGTTTCACGAGCAGCTCCCCCCTCAAAGGCTCCTCCTGTCAGGTAACGTCTTGAATTTCCTCCTCCTCCTTCATCTCTTCATCCTCTCAGAGCCTCATCCAAACCCAACATGGCCGCCGTTAGTCAGTCTGTGGTCACAGCGAAAGGGGGCTGACTCCAAGGGGTGGGGGGATCTCACTGTGAACGACCGACACAATGAATAGAAAAGTAAAAGCTGTTCTAATAGATTCGAATCTTTTTAATTTACATCATGGTCTGATACAAAAACCCTCCAGATTGTCTTTGTTGGAACATGTGAGCAACCTGAAGGCAGAGAACATATGAGAGGAGAGAGATCTTTGAGTCTGGTCCAGAACATTTGGACTTTCTGAATGTTTACCGTTTTAAATGTCCACTATAAGAAGGAAGCCATCCATCACTGATGTTTGTCCTCCTGCAGAGAACAGAGAAGGGACGTCTTCTCCCGGCTCCTCCGTGCCGCCTTTTCCATCCACCTGCTGGTCCTGGTTCTGCTGGTCCTGGTTCTGCTGGTGCCACTGTCTGACCAGGACCACAGCTGTATGCTGTCCAACAATTTTGCTCGATCCTTCCACCCGATGCTGCACTACACCAACGGTCCTCCGCCCACCTGACGCTGCTGGGATCTCCTGACCTGCTCTCCTGCAGGTTCTAGAGGTTCCCTCTGGATGAACTTTGAATTTAAAGCCATAGTTAGGCCCGAGCAGCGAAGCGCTGCGAAGGCCTATTGTAATTCTGCTTGGTTTTTTAAATCAGTATTTATTTTCATGTCTGAAGCAAACGAACAAGAAGAAGAAAAAGAAGAAGAGCGGCCATTTTCAGAGAAGGACAAACAAAAATGGTTTTGTTTTTGAATGTCAATCAATGATGAATCAGATGACATCATGTTATTTCTAATAGTTAATGTTGGGAGGATGGGGGGGGCTATGAGGTTCTGTAGGTGCATGTAGAAGGTTCTGTGCTCTAAATGAACAGAATCGGACTGCAGGAAGTGTAAAAAGTTGCTTTATTTATAACACTTAATAAACCGGGTTGATGTTCTGCTCTGTTTGCTCTGGTTCTGGATTCTGACGGACGTTAACATCAGTAACATATAAACAGTAAAGTTCTCTGATTGGATCAGACAGGTTCATGCATGTGATAGAAAGGTCAAAGGTCAGATGAGCTGCTGCCAAAGGCTGAATTTACACTGAGCTCCAAAAAGCACCTTCATCTTTAAAACTCTACATGTTTGAGGACTTTGGAGAGTTGGGATTAAAACTCAGGAAGCAGAGACCAGAAAAGTTCAGGGGATGGTTATGACCTCACCAGAACTTCACGCCTGGTCCCAGTACTGGTCTGCATGCCCTGTTTTCTTAGACGGGCTGGAGATCCACCTTCCAGGAGGAGAATCAGCCTGAACACCCAGGAGATGCAGAACCAGTAAGAACTTGTCCAGTTGGTCTGAGCTGCTTTGTGAAGGTGAAGCTCCACCCACTCCGTTCTGAGCAGCATCAGAACTCATTCGGTCTGGGAGCCTGTGGGACCAGCTGATCCAGACCTGCTGCAGGTCAGAAAATGGCTGCTGACAGCCTTCCTCCAGAATCTTTGGATGCACCCAGAACATGCTGGTTCTGCTCATTTAGAGACCAGCTTCAGGTTTCTGTGGACAATTCTTCTCCTTATGGAAACACCTTCAGCAGAGAGGAGATCCAAGGTGATGGAGGTAGATGAGATCCTCTCAGCTCCAGGAGCTCATCCAGCTGATCAGGTGTTTTAGTTTTAGCTTTGAAGATGTAAAAAAAGAAAAGAGTTGAAGTTTGATTGTATAAATTCAGCCTTAGTGGAAGCAAAGCATCAGAGAAGGTCTTAACAGTCACTTTGGTAAAAGGCCACAGAGCTCAGAGCTGCTCCACCGACACACAACAGGCTGCAGGTTCATATCAGAGTACAGAAAGAAGTAGTGCAAGGTCCTCCAGGATGGTCAGCATGCAGCTTCGCAGATGTTCTGGATGTTTCAGCAACATGGAGAGAACAGAACCCAGAACTGGACCAAGTTCTCATCAACGTCCACAGAAAATACTGACCACTAAACCTGCCACAGTCGAAACAACATCTGAACAACAACTCTTTGTCCATTTCCTTTTCTGGATGTTTCACTTATTTTGCGAGGTGGTTTCCATGGCAACCCGATCAGGGATGAAGTAACCTAGGGGCTCATCCCCTCCGTCCAGCGACCACTGCGCTGCAGCGACGTAGCTGTGAAAGAAACAAACAGAGTAACCATCAGCAGCAGAACAGATCTGGAAATCTAGATCTAGGTGAAAGAGTTTTATTAACAGTCTCTTTGTTTTAGGATTGGTTATAGATTAATGATTATGGTTAATCTGGACTGGATGAAACCAGAACACGACCCCTCCTACTCACCTCTCACTTTTCATTTGAGACAGAGGAGAGGACAGGAGGCCTCGAGCCTGCAGGTGCCTGACCATGGCGTGGTCCTCATCAGGTGCCACTGGGCCATCAGAACCTGGATGGGCAGTGAGGTTCTGATCCAGATCAGCCTGCAGGTAAAACGAAGGAGGAGGCTGGTGCTCCTGTAGGTCACCGTAGGCATCGGAGGAAGACGCCGCCGTTTGGCTGCTGCTGGATGTGTTGGCATCCAGCATTTCCAGGAGGAGGTTGTACACCAGCACCACGTTCTTCCTCTTCATGGTGGACAGGTGGTCCATACCTTTGTTGCTGTGGAGAGAGGAGGAGGCAGTTAGCCTGAGTGACCAACCGCTAGCAAGGCGGCCAAAAGAAATCCCTCCCTCGTAAAGAACAGCACAACCATGTCTTTCGGTTGTGCTGTTCTTTTTTCATCTCGTTACAGGTGATGAAGCAGACTGAAAATGTTTTGTCATTGTCTCCTTTCTATATCTTCTTTCTTTCATCTTTTCTCTTTTTTTCCCTTTCTTCTGTTTTTCTGCTCTATTTACATTGCAGTGTCCATATAAACTGTAAAACTCCCTGCATAATTATAATAAAGCAATTTATACGCATGAAACAAGTGTAGCAATATGGCAATTGCCATACTGCTACACTTGTGAAAGTAAAATCTGTTGGGCTCTTTTTGGCATCAAGACAATTATTCTTATTGCCACATTGCCAGACAGGACACTGGTAAAAAAAAAAAAAAAAAAAAGAAATCCCTCCCTCAACAAGACCTTAACAGATGGCCGCTCACACTGAGCCTGGTTCTGCTGGAGGTTTCTTCCTGGTCAAAGGGAGTTTTTCCTCTCCACTGTCGCTACAAGCATGCTTAGTGTGAGGGATTGCTGAAGAGTCAATGAGTCGATGCAATCAAATGGTTTTCCTTAGATAGAAAACTTTGAATCAATCTAACTGGATGATCTGGTTGATCTAGATCTATAAAGTGACCTGATGTGAATTAGAAATAAACTGAAATCTGACCACCTTTATCAGAGTTATCCTCCCCCAAAAGAAGGTTTCATTTCAGCAAGTTTTCATTTCAGCAGATATCAGATATTATCAGATAATGCAGTTATCAATTTTAATCAATCTGTTTCACTTTCTCTCTTCTCTGTGTCGCTGAGCAGTGCTGCAGAGTGCAAAAGCTTAGTTTATTCCCCTTTACAGGTTAATGATTTTATTGATGGGGTTGCTAGTTCTCTGCGTACTGCCTTAGACAATGCAGCCCCTTTGAAAAAGAAAAATGTTAAAAACAGAAAGCTGGCTCCTTGGTTTAATGCAGAGCTGCACACTTTGAGGCAAAATTCTAGGACACTGGAGAGAAAATCATGCTCCACAGGCCTGCAGGAATCCTACCTAGTCTGGAAAAATAGTTTACTGCTGTATAAGAGGACCCTTTGTAAAGCAAACACAGTTGCCAAACCCACCCAGAGCCATAGCTCTGCTTCCATTCCACCTGCTCTTAGCAGTAATGATTTTACGGGATTCTTTATAAATAAGACTGATATTTTTTAAAAATAAGATCATTATCTATGATTGATTTATCTCTGAAGGTGAGGCAGCATCTGAGGTAGTCATATCCATAGGCTTGAAACTTTCCTTTTTGATAAAGCTTATAGTTAGAGTAGCTCAGGTTATCCTGAGCTACTCTAAACCATCCTGCATCCCTAACCGGGTTGTTTTTTGAGTAACTGATCCACCCTGGGTCTCTGACTGGTTCTGGTTCCTGCACTTAGAAAATTAGTTCCTGAAACGTTTCCTTCGTGGATATGGGTCTAATGAAGGAAACTAAATCCAGGGTTCCTAACAGACATGCAGAGAAATGCTCCTCCTGGTGCTGGCTCAGACCAACAGGTAGGGCTCTACTGACAGAAACACAAAGCATTCTCAGCACGCCGTGTCACGGTTGTACCTGACGTGGCGAATGTGGGAGAGCAGCATGGTGAGATGGCCAAGGCGAAGGGTCTGTTGCTGGGTGGACAGCCCCAGTTTGGAAATGGCCCAAACCAGAGCATCAATGACCGAGTCCAGAAGACGCAGCAGCTTGTTCCTGCTCTCCAGCTCCTCGGCCGTCTGTGGGGGGCTGCTGCACAGATCTGAGGAAACAGAACCGCACATATAGTTTCAGGCTATGCAGTCCACCTGCAGGGCAGGGCTGAAAGGAAGAACCAGGAACAGAAAGTCAGCGAATCCCGAGCAGATTTAACAGTTAAAACATGAAATCCATGAAACCAGGATTTTTATTATAGGGAAATATGAAAGATCTAGGCCAGCAGATATCTGAGAGAAATATAAACAAAGGGGAAAACTACAACCTTTAAGTAACTGTAATAAAATCACCAATAATCAACAAAATAGCCTGATGTGGCAACAAGGATGACAAGCTAAACCGTCTCCTCTTCTCCAGGAGAAAGACAATTCTCAGTAATATAGGATCACTATTAAAGGATCACTATAATAATGTAACATAGATGACTGCATAGAATCTGAACCCGGGTTTAGACTGCTTTGATCCAGTTGAACTTTCAGAGTTATTAAAACTATTGTCTTCATCTAAGCCTTCAACTTGGATGTTAGATCCAGTTCCAACCAGGTTATTTAAGGAGGTATTCCCTTTGATCTCCTCCT